TTCAGCCTCTCACCGCCCCTGGTCCAGGTTACACTTGGATTTTGCTGGACCTTTCCAGGGGCAGCTTTTCTTTATACTTGTAGACTCCTACAGTAAGTGGCTGGAAGTCGTTCCAGTACCCTCCACAGTATCTGCCACGTCTGGTCGGCCCCGTTTCATCCCACGGACAACGAAGGACGCCCTCCGCCGCCTGGACTCCTCAGATTGGGACTATAAACTGGCAGCTTTTCTGTTCAGCCAGCAAACTATGCCCCACACCACTATGGGGTGCAGTCCGGCGGAGCTACTTCTCGGCCGTTGCCTGATGACTCAACTGGACCGCCTGCACCCAGGCCGGGCACCAGTAGAAGCTCCAGCCACAGAGACCCACGAGGCCGCCAGGGGGTTCTTCCTGGAGGACCCTGTCTATGCAAGGAGCTACACCCGGGGTCCTGCCTGGATTCCGGCTAGAGTGGTGAGAGTCAAGGGCCCGAGATCTTATGAGGTTTCCTGCGAGGACGGGCAGATACTGCGTAGGCACATTGATCAGTTGCGCCCCCGAACCTTGCCTCTGGAACCTGAGGACTTGGACCCGGCCGAAAAACCAGAGGCCACAGCCCCTCTCCAACAGGAACCCGCCAAACCGGTGCTTCTCCCAGAGAGACGGTCTGAGGAACTGCACCCAGCTACCCCAGTCACATCAGCACAAGAACCCACGGCGCCACCCCCGGACAGCTCTCCATCAAGGACAGCAAAAGAAGCACCAGCCACCGCTCTGGAGCTTCGCCGCCTCTCGCCGCTCCTCCCGCACCAGAAAGGCACCTGCTCATTTAAAGGACTTTGAGGATGCATTGCAGACCAAGGGGGGAGGGGTGTAGTGTATCAGGACCAGACCGCATGGTCAGCTTGGGCACCACGGTCAAGCACAAGCGTTGAGCTTCGCTCCGACAGACAATGAACGATACGGATCCTAGCCCGCACCAACCCTGTGGGACTCTCAGCCACTAGTTTCGGACCTATTGGGAAGCGGGGGTGTGTGTGTTTTGGGTGGTGGATTCACAGGGGATATAAGCCGGCCTGCGAGCCGGCTTGGGTTGTCTTGTTCTTGATCTAATAAAGTACACTAAGCTGAAATCACTCGTCCGTCTGCGTACTTTTCAATAGCCATCAGCTATGCAACGCGTTTTCAGTAGGACGACTACCCTTAATAATTGTCCAGCTACAAAGCAAGTAGGGTCAAGATCACATCTGCATTATCCTGCCCCAGGAACAACTAAATACATATCACAGACCCACAGGCTAGGCCTTTCAAGCTCTCAGTTTTATTGTTTCGTTCCCGACAACAAATTAATCTCTCTAAAGCAGCAATGCAACTTGCGCTTTCTTAGAAGCGGGTTCAGTGCAGCTTACTTCCAAGTACAACCGGGAAGAGATCCGGCCTCAAAGTGATAATTAACCATTGCCATTGCCACAAAAGCTGACATCCTCCCGTCATCCTGCTAGTCTGTCCAAGCTACTGCGCTCTCCCACCCCCCACCCCCTCCTTAGTGAATGACTGACAAGCACGTGTGGAGCGGTGCAGAGTGCCGGAAAGCCAGGCGTTCCACGCCGTTCGCTTGTTGCCGGGGCAATGGCTGGCGTTCTAGTGATGGCGCGCGAATGGTAGGGCCGTTCATTACCATAAGGAGCGTGAAGCCTTTGAACTCAGGGCGCGCGGAGCCATCGCAGGAAATGAACATCCCGACAATGACGGGCAGACGAAGAAAGCAGCCGACGCGAGCCTAGCAAAGCAAGAGAAAAGGCGCGCCCTTCCCCCACCTAGGGGTCCTTTTTCTCGCAACGGCAAAAGACGGCACTTGGGAAAGTTGTTTCCAGTGCGCCTGTCACCGTCTTCCTTTTTCATGCAATGGGTTTGCTCTAATTGTTTTTAAACGGAGCCCGGAGAGTAACCTCGAGTACGGCAACTTGGCTGCGCTGTTTACCATACATAGACTTCGTCTCTCCGTCAGGCAACTGTGTGGATCAGCCTTAGGGGCTTAAACCAATTGGAGAGGCAGTTGAGCTAGACGCCTAGTGGCCGGCTGTGGGCCTGCTGCTGGTTGGTTGAAGATTGAGCCAATGGGAGCTCAGCAAAAGCTAGGAAGAGATTCAGGCGGGTGACTGAGCGGGAGGTTGATAAACAGCGGAATCCTTATGTCGAATCTCCTGTTCTTTTTCGGGGATCCTCTCTGTAATTTGGGTCCTGCACCTCAGTAAGGCTAGTCCAAGTTCCCGCGTGATGTCGCTGCCTCCAGGGAAAGCCTCTGAACTGAAGCAGATCATTCATCAGCAGCTGACCAAGGTAAGGACAAAGCGCTGCTTTCCGTAAGTGAAAAATGATAGACTTGGCGCTTAAGGTTGAACATAAGCGTGTTTTTTTTTTTTGGGGGGGGGGGGGACTGTGATTGGCTGAGTTGAGTCGAGTTATGGTAGGTAGTTGCTGCCTCCCTTCTCTGGTGTTAATGACTCTCGAGGTCGTCTATGATCTGAGTAAACTACGAATAACGAGGCATACGTTCTGCAGAGAGTTATTGGCGCTGCAGTTAAAAACTATTGTAATGCTTTCTTCTTATCGTTTTAATCGTTAAGAAAGCTCCTTTGCTAATTCTGGCTCACTACTTCCGTGTAAGTTGCAACTTGACAGCTTTCAGGATTGCAGCCTAAGGTCTTGATGGTAAGTTTTTAAGCCCTGTGTTTATAGTTCTGGATACATTTCCCCAAGAACATATGACTGTAGTATTGGCAAAATGACCCAAACAAGTTCTTGTTTGGTTTCTGTTTTGTTTTCACATAATTAAATAAAGCAAGTGAACTTGCAGAAAGCAGATATTTGGAAAGTAAATAATATTTAGCAATTTTACCTTATAGAGGGTAAATATGCAGCCTTTTACATCCTGAACTTTAATATGATGTGTTCTGAAGCAGTGATGTTGTAGTCCATCAGCATGAAATCTAGGAAAGTTCTGTTTGTTACTCATCTCATATTAGTAATAAGTGAGCCTCTTACATATAGATTACGGATGTTTTCTGCTATATTTGTATGCATGATCTAGTTCATGGAGTTGGGCAACCCAATTCTGAGGGCTGCTTGTGGTAGTGGTGGCTAGCTACCAAAGTAATAGTGGCAGCCCTGGTCGGATCCCTATGAACATTCTGCAGGGGGAACAAACAACATGTGCACTGCAGGTTTCCATCCCCTTTGCAGAGGAAGGGTATAAACGAAGCAAATAATACGTTACTTAGTGCCAAACAGGTTACTAGAGGCTGAATTTAGAAATGAGTGGACTTGTTTGTATTCTAGAAAGGCAGAGTAGCTTGATTTTCTAGTTGGGAATTGGGGGCACAATAATGCAGTATTTCAATATTTAATTTTATTGAGTCCGTAAAAGTCCCAAATGACTGTTCTGATACGTAAGTATTTGTAGCTAACAGAAAGTGAGAACTGTGTTCTGGAAACAAAATGGTACATTCCCTGTGAGAGAACCATATCCTCTGAAAATTTTTACTATGGGAACAATGTCTGTGTTTTATGCTTTTAATATTAATGTGCTTCTAAAATAATATGCTTTTAATTTATTATTGATAGAATCACAGTTTTCATCTAAAATACATGAAGCTGAGAAATCATCCATGTAGTTACTATAAGATCTTCAAATATTGGGCTTTTCTCCCTTGATGCCACCAATGTAAAACTACACGTACAATCTAAAACATAGTTATGTAGGCATAAGGAGCTGCGATGGCTCAAGTGGTTAAGACTGAACTGCAGGCTGTGGAAGGTCAGTAGTTCAGCAGTTCGAGACCCGAGTTGCCGCATGATGGAGTGAGCTCCCATCTCTAGTTCCAGCTCCTGCCAACCTAGCAGTTCAAAAGCAGAAATTGCAAGTAGATAAATAGGTACCACTTAGGTGGGAAGGTAACAGTGTTCTGTGCACCTTGGTGTTTAGTCATGCTGGCCACATGACCACGGAAACGTCTTCGGAAAGAGCTTGCTCTTTGGCTTTGAAACGGAGATGAGCACCGCAACCCTAGAGTCGGACTCGACTGGTTTTCAAGCAAGGGAACCTTTACCTTTAGGCATAAGGGCCATTGAATACAATGGGACTTATTTCTAAGTAAATATGCATGTGATTGTATTGTATATATCAGAATGTCCTTCAGGACATGAACCTAACATGTTAACAGAAGCATTTCTGTGTAGATGGATGTCCACAGCAGGATCCGAGAAGTTCTTGGTGAAACAATACGTGAAGAACTAGCACCTCAGCATCAACAGTTGTCTGAAGAAGATCTGATGAAAGCCCTAATACGGCGAGGAATAATTGATGATGTTGTGAAAGAACTAAATTTCATGACTGTGAGTATGTGTTGAAAATAAATTAACCATTTGATCCAGTGTAGTCACTATAGTTGATTTTCTGTGGGAGAAGACAGTAGTAATTCTGCATAGGGTTGTATTGCAACTCTTCTGATATGATAAACAGTATTTTTGGCATAATGTAAATGGGATACAGTCACTTGTACTTGGTTTTGTTGTGATACAGATTTACATGTAAATTGTGCTATTACAGTTCTTTACAGAAATGAATATGTTTTAGATACTCTTATTAAACCAGTGGTAGGGTAACGGGTGCTTAGGCAGCAATCCTAGTCAGGTCTGGGCAGAATCCTCAGGTCTATTCAGTGGGGTTTACGCCCAGGAAGGTGTTTTTTAGGATTTCACCATTAAAGAGCTTTTGAGCTGTAGAAGTCTTAGGGCTATTTTGTGTATACAATCCTATAGTGTATCTAGAGCCTTCTAGTGATATTGGGCCTGCATTGTGGAAAGTAGCCCTTGGGGAGATATTTTGGCAGACAAGTCTAGTTACCAAAAAATGTGTAAAAGTATTTTTAGTATTTCACTTCAAGGTGTCCTAAATTATAATATAATCCTAGGATATGAATGACAGAGAAGTTACTTCAACTCCAAAACCTTCTACACATTTTGTGGATCGACAGCCACCTGTGCTGAAAAAGAGTATGTGTTCATATGTTATCTTCAGCATATGTTGAAGTGATTTAAAGTGTTTAGATATTTAAAATTCAAGTACTGTAAAGCAGCTCTAATGTTTCTTTTGATACGTATGTGGTCTGCATTCTGTGTAAAGTTAGTTTTCAGTGAAGCGAGGATCCTGCAAAAAAAAAATTGCCCATGTAATCACAGGCAAATACAATTGTTTGTCTACAATGCATATTGTGAGAATTTTACAGGAATTGTGTTGCTAACACTTTGGAATAAAATGTTAAATATTTTTAACTCATGCTTTGAATTTGTACTGGAATTTTTCCCACCATCGATTGGATCTAGTGGAAGACTTCATAGAGGCAGCCTGCATTGATCCCATAATTCACCTGTGACAGTCAGGGGAGCCTCATAAGCAACATTTGTCACAGGACAGGTGCTGCATGGATGAGAGGGGAGACAGGATAAAACTTCCCCTCTCTCCCTCTCTTCACTACATGGATTGCCTCATCTGTGAAGAAGACGAAGACCATTTAGCCCTGTTTCCCTTTATTGCTGCAGCAACTTGTCTGGTGGTATATTTTGCTCTCCTGATGCTCAGAGAAGAGTTTCAAGATAAGTGTCAGGCTGCCTGGGGGAGGGAAAGACAGGGTAAGATCCTTCAGCTCTTCTGCTAGATCTAATCCATATATTTCAAAGATGTTACTGATTTTTAGCTACATTACTTGAGATCTGATTGTAATTTTTTCATATTCATTATTATACTTCACAGCTAATATTGATCCAACACGAAGATATCTGTACCTTCAGGTTTTGGGTGGGAAAGCTTTTCTGGAACATTTGCAGGAACCTGAGCCTTTACCTGGTCAAATTTGTTCCACTTTTACTCTCTGCTTACATTTTCGAAATCAGCGCTTCCGCTCTAAACCTGCCCCATGTGCCTGTGAACCAGATTTCAGTGATGGCTTTCTACTCGAAATATACAAAGATAGTCTAGGTAAGCACATACATTTTGGCTGATTACAATGCACTCATTTTATTTATTTAAAAATTATGTCCTGCTTTTCAGCGAAGCTTTGCCAAAGGCTTCTTAACAAAATTGTGCTTGCAGTCTCGACCGTCGGTGAAATAAATGATGAAGTAAGTCATCAAAATAAGCAGGTAGAACCAAAGAATAAACAAGAAAACCCTAATTTGGGAGAAACACAAAATTAAGCATTGACAGAACATTCCCACCACTATCACCTCTAATTCAACCCAAAGGAAGGATAGTTTTCACTTCCTTTCTGAGGATTAAGAGGGAGAGAACCAAATATGCTTCCTGGGGGAGGGAGTTACAAAGTCTGGGAGCTACCAGCAATGTGGCCCTGCCACAAGTGACAACAGATAAGATGTCTGATGGTGTGGGAACACAGAACAGGGCCTCTCCAGCTGACCATGGTACAGTAGCTGCAAAATGTTTCATGTGCAGAATTTCATGCAGAGATATTGAAGTGCAGCAGGATCCACTTTAGTGATCTGTCAGTTTTGTCTGCTATGAGGTGGTCTGCAAATCTGATTCTTGAGTTTTGAGTTCACATATTTGCATGAACACCTTAAGTTGCTTGTCTTCTCCCCTCTACAATGATCATTCTGGGAATTTACATGCTTTCACTTAGTTTTCCCCATCAGGACTACTTCTACTTCTAGTAAAGAGTCACACAGCAAATCATGCCATTCTTTATTTGCATTATGTAATTATATAAGCCCCTTTGGGTCCCGATGGGTGTGGGGGAACAGGGTAGAATGCAAGAGGTTTTGTGCTGATGAGTGGCTGCAAGCTTTATGGTGGGCTGTGCAGAATTCTTGGCTTTTTACCATCTTCTAAGAATTGACAACCCACCAATA